CCCTCCCGTCCGGTGCCTTGACCCATCCATGTTCCGTCGGCTGCTGTGCAATCTCGTCCGCGTGTGATGTTTCGGACAGTTGTATCGACCTCCTGACTTGTAGGCCTTCCAGCACCGTGTCCAATTCTCCTAGCACAGCCTTGCTGTCATCATAGCTACCACTTTCATATATCGATACGAACACGTTCTCAATGCCTAGTTCTTGTACCAACGCTACCAGCGCGTTGTTCCAATGTTCTCGGAGCAGTCGCGCATTGTTCCAGTGCTGGGAGGCTATGTATACGCGCTTCGTGTTGCGAGGTGGGGGCGGGGCAGTGGTTGTCGCTGTTTGGTATCTGTATAAGGAAAGGCAGTGTAGTGAGTCCAAAAGGACATAAAGAAGGACGAGTATGCGAAATGCAGAAGATCGTGGAAGTCGGCGGAAGGAGTATGACCTGTAATGACGCATTAGGAGACTATGTTTCTGCATAACTACAGTGCCATTGAGAAGAGGAGATTATGAATCTTGTGAAGGAGCGCAGAGAATAAAGGAGGCCGTGAAAGTAACAGAGCAAAAGGATGAGGCAGGTGCAACCTACTACGAAGTCATTCACGCTTCCATTTTGGAGCTCTTGATCTAGGCGTTGGCGCAGCAAACGTACCACTTCTTGGTACGAATTTAGTTTGCTGCTAAGACGGCATCTTGGTGGTAGTGTAGTAAAGCCGAGGTAGCCGTTTCGAAGAGGGCACAAGGTGAACCCTAGAATATACTTGGCATCTTGTTGGGCCAATCACATTTCTTCTCGTTCCGCAGACCTCCGTATGCGAGTGATTGCGCCAGATGGTCGCGACGAACAAGTGGAGTTGGCAATTTGTTTTGTGGCAGTGTGATGAGTTTGGTGATAGCGCAAGGGGTTGGACGAGCGTCTATGTCAGTGCCTCGTCACGTGGGTGTCGCACAGAGACCATCTGGGCAACTCCCTATCATGAACCTGAGCAGCATCACCAAGCCTATGAGGGCTGCGGAGACAAAAAGCAGCCTGAGTGATTGTCTAGGCGAATAAAATGACGACATCTGGAAATAGGAAGAGATGGGCAGGAGAAGACACAAATGATTGGTAGTAGGAGAAAAGATGTCCAGGTCGCTTCGACTCCTTTGAGGTACGTTACCATGGTACTCAATGTTAGTCGAGAACTCTGGTTGCAGTCCAAAATGCCATCGACCGAGACACATATATATAGGGCGCACTTCGTTACTCACCTCTTGTCTGACTACTACCTTCTATTCCTATCATTGTTATTATTAATACTAATTTTCAATCGCAAGATCTGAGCGCAACTTGGTATGAGCGCAGAACTGATTCGTCAGGCTGACAAGCGGAAACTATCCCCAGAGCAGCGTGTAGATATTGCCCGTACATCGCGAGTCAGAGATGAGTGCGAGGATGAGCAAAGAATCATGGCTAAGAGAAGAGTCGTGGAAGGAAGGCATATCGAAAGTGAGTTTCCTAGGCAAGACGACTGCACGGTTTGCTCATGGGCAAAATATCAAGCGTCGAACTGGATTACTTTCTCCCATCACGAACCACGACGCGATACCTTGTCCGAAAGCTTACCACCAGCTATGGTTATTCCAACAGGACCGAAAGCTTCCCATCGTGCCCCCTTCCGTTCGTCTTCTCCTATCAACGTCCACGCTCTCTTAACGCCGCATAACCGTGGTCTTTCCAACCACGAGGTCCGAGAGCTCACTGTGCTACAGACCCGAGTCGACAATGCTATAGCCGGCATTGGGCCATCGCTCCGAATTCTACTCAATATACCCAAGTCCATACAGTTGAACATACAACAAAAGCAAAGGGTTTATGATGCCCAAAAGGTCCTCGATATGGCTGTTCTCGAAAGTAAATTGCAGGGTCAGGGAGGAAGTGAAAGCGTTGTCAAAAAGACTCCTTCAACATCTACGTCTCAGTATGGTGGTCGAACGTGGTATGATAGCGATGGCTGGACAATTCTCACCCTGCCACCGCTAGATCTTGCCGAATCGATAGAGGGGTCTCTCATAGCGAGATCTATGTGGGTGGAGACTAACAGTCTGTTGGCACAGTTGAAGAGGGTACGGGTGAAGATCTCCTTTAGTGCCGCGGATCGCGAGACTCTGCGGATTGATACATGATCATGGAAAGGGGAGGATGCGATGGGCGAACATGCTCTAGGTTTGAGTAGGTCTGTGGCTCAAGACAGGGAAGAGGTCCACGTTACTGAAGAGGAGGATCACGCGGCTTTACAGACTTTGAGTATATAGTTTGGGTACCATCCCAAGTCGAATCAATCAGCGTTTTACCCGAATTTCTTTCCCCTTTGATATGTGCACACCCACATGGGTAACATTCAAGGATGCTACGTAAAGGGAAAGCTGAACGAGTGTAAATATGAAGGGTCTGCTGCTACTCAGATTGGCACGTACGCTGCAGTCTATGACAACAGCGCGTTGCTACCTGTTCGAGACCTGGTGTTTCCTTCCTTTCTCAGTTTTCTAAAGAGGATCTGAGATACCCCACAGCGATGTATCTTCAGGGAATTGCAGCTTATCGAGATGTGGCGGAAGCTCAAAGGACCTCAGCAGTGTTGCAGACTTCCGAGTAGTTTATGTTCATGTGCAGTTTTCTGTCACCCCTCATCTTGTCAAGCCTACAAAAAACAGAGCTTCCTAAGGGGTATGCGACTCTTGCTTCGATAGGGAGAGAACTGGAAAACTAGTGCAGCAGAATCGGAGCAGCAAGGCGACGGGGGTCGGGAGCGATGTTGGGATGTTCTTGGGCCTCGCTCAATGGAGATATCTTCGAACCAAGGAATACCTAGGTAGCTGTTCGTTGTGATTTTGTATGAGATGTGGTAAGCTGCCACTCGGGTTGGAAGTAATGACGTCACCATGGTTTGGCCTCGCGAACCATCGTACCCACTGCGATGTTGCAATCAATGGTTTTATCCAAAGAAAGTATAAGCAACATCACCGAATATCAGTACAATAGAAGCAGAGTTTGGTCGTCTGACAAGAAAGCTTGAAGAATAAGCCCGGACAAGAAAAGGCAAAATGCGGATATGCGGACGCGCACCTCACAGCGAAATGTCGCGATGCTCAACGTGGGGTTTCGACATGCCCACGCGTCACAGAAAGTCAACAATTGTAGTGTTGCGCACTTTGAGGAGGTTTGATTTTCCGATTCTCTCTCACCAAATAGGCTGCAGCTACGAGTTATGTCGTGTAAATTCCATAATCGATCTCCTCCTTCCCCCTGACATCTCTTTCCTGTTCCTGGTTCGCTAGCTTGGCTGTCGCGCGAACTGTATCAAGTGTACCCCTCGGGTTAGCTTTGTTACGCGTGTGTCTAACATGGCGCGTCGCGTCACGTCTTGGAGGAGGCAGAAGATTCTCAAACAACAAGAAGCCATTGTTCACAATAAACGTGTTCGTTTCGCTGCATACCGCAAGTCCAAATAAACCCAATGGCGGCTTCTTCTGTGAATTTTCCTCCATATGCGGCCGCTGTGCAGAAGATGGTAGGTAGCCCAGCAGTACGGAGTGGACGGGGAAAGGACAAGAAGCAGAGATTCAGGAAATCGAAAGTGGTTTTGCAACGCGAGAAGCTCGCAGGCCTCAGAGACAAATCAAACAGACGCGTCTGCTCAGAGGTACACGCAGTTTCATTACCAGTTGTGACGAAAGGTCCAAATGCGCGCCTTCCTGCAAACGCAAGGCAGCAGGGTAACAACAACACAACGCCTACTCGCATGCCAACGACCTCACTCACCTCACAACCTAACCCTCCAGTGATGCACCCACATATACTACCTCTTGAGCAACGGACGGCAGAGATGCAGGCACTCCAGGAAACTATGCCGGATCGACAATGGGTTTGCACAGACGACATACATCCTCTACAACAGCTCTTAGACGCAAAGAGAGAGCGAAAGGTTACAAACGAAGCAGTGTCCAAGAAACAAACCACGGTGAAGAACAAGAGGAGGAAGCGGGGGAAGCGTCGTCAAGTCCGGCAAGGCGCTGCACAACCCGTCTTCATCAAGACCGAGTCCATTGACGACAGCCCAGACACAAGGCGCGACTCTGCCTACGGCAATGTGTTAGTTCAACTCAATGCATCGAGTTCTCCAAAACATCGAAGATGGACTGGGCCTAAGACAGACAGCATCATCGATATCGTCGCACTGTGCACCTATCCGGGACAGACTATTAAGCCGAGTTCGTTCAGTAGCCTCTTCACCCTCCAACGAAGAATCGATGCCGCCGTTAATGACCAAGGCCCTCTCAGAAACATCTTGCGCAACCTTCCACGCGACATCACCTTAACTGTCGAGCGAAAAGAAGCCATCTGGGTGGCACAAGGCAAGCTCAATAGGATAGTGGACGAACGACGACGTGGGCGCAGACTACAGAAACTCGACCGTTACCTTTCATCTGATCGCCGGATCCCAGTTGATCGCTACGTCCCGGGCGTCCCCTACAACCCCATCCCGCACATGCTGGCCATGAAGGTGTTATCAGAAGTAGTGGCATAGCAATGCGGAAATTAGTCCGTGGATTCCTCGTCGGATAGACTATGTTTGAGAAAGATGAGACACTGAGAAGCTGCGAATACTACACGACTGGTAGGGGGAGATCTGTGTTTGCGAATGCATTCACGACGGTGAATGAGTACGTTATGGGCTTCGCATCTCTTCGAACATGTCTGGCACCCGATCTTGGAGTGACTTAGATAGCAAGCTCGATATCCCAAGCAAAAGCATGATTCAGTTCCTGTATATTATAGCAATCGAGATTACACTAAGACTCTGTCGCATTACAGAATACATAATCATCGGCACAAGCGCTGAGGGGCCGGCCACTCTACGAAGTGAGAATCCATTTGGGACAAGTTTGATGATAGTACAAGTCCAGAAAAGCTAGGTGATGAAAGAATGGGCACGTAGAAATGCCGCACTCAAGTAAATCGATGCACAAACTACCTCCTTGAGGACCTCACATCAAAGACGTCAACTTCGCGATCGTACGCGGGCAAGCTCTTCCTCCTCCTCCCCGATGCCAAACTAGCACTCCTCCTGCTGCCCTTTGAAGAAGCAAAGCCAAGTCCGCTATCCCTGCGACTCCCCGGCTGCTCGATGACTTCCACGATATCTTCTTCATGCTTGAGCTCACGAACGTCGTGGTCATCTGAGAGATGTTTAATGAGAGCCTTGACATCGCCGCAGACGGTGTCTGATTCAGCGTACTTGGAGCATATGACGCAGCAGTATTGGCCATCAGGACCATCACGGTGGCACTTGACGACAAAACGGTTTTGGACTTGGAAGGTTCGCTCCGTGTCACCAGCCCATTTGGATATCTCCCATGCTTTCCCTGGTGAGAGGTGAAGTGCGCCCTTGCAGTGCGGACAATATGGATCCCTGTCTGATGTTATGCTAGATGATAGTTGTTGGGTGGGAGATCGCTGGAGGTCGTAGGCGTACACGCAGTATAGGTTGTTAGACCTGGACGCCAGGGTGGGTCCTGTCATCGAGGTAGCGTCAGTGATAGAGGGTTCTGGTTCGACGTTGTCACGCCATGTGAGTACCGTCGTGTTGACAGGGCTGCTGCTTCGCATATGTGAACTGCGGGACCGTGGTTCATGCTTCACCAGAGCTGTGGAAGTCAAGCTGGGAGCAGTAGTACCGGGTTGAAGAGTCAACGCACGAGATGGTGCATGGGATTGCACATGTGAAGGTGCATAAGACGGCGCATGAGAGGGCGCGTGGGATGCTGTCAGAGATTTCGCCCGAGATCGCGTGCGAGATGTTGCGTTGGATGGTGCTCGAGATAGTGCTCGAGAGGTATGGTGGGATGGTGCCTGAGATGGGGCACGGGAGGTATGGTGGGAGGGAGCGTGCGATGGTACATAAGACGTATGGTGAGAAGAGACGTGGGATGGCGCATTGTTTGGACTTGAGCGCGCCGTGAATGAATGCATCGACCGTGGTGTGAGTGGTCGTTCATCTTGTTGGCGTTCTTGCAAAGCAGCCAGTATCTCGACACACGTTGCAGCAGCTACTCTTGACGCTGTGTTGATGCTGGCCAGCTGATTTGCGATAGGCTCACCGGAGGTAGGTCCGTAGAGGAATGTCGTCACCAACACACTCTGAAGAGTGATGATTTGTGACTGGAGAGCTGTATACGCAATCACTGTTACGTGTCCTGTTAGCCCGCTGATCTAGATGGAGTTTCCGGAAATATAATGCGCGTTGTTCGAGATGCAGCAATGTTGTTGGGCGTAAGCCGCAAACCCATCTACCTGATCACGCCATAAGAAAGAGCAAGCTTACCATCACCCTCAGCAAACTCAACCCCAATGGTCTGGTACCCAATATCAAACTGCCGTGTGACTACCGCTTTGTCCGTAACGATTGCTTCGTCGCTACCAAGGCGTTCATCTTTCACGTACTCGATCCTCCTGGAGGCAGGGTAGCCTTTGCTGCGTAGATTCTGTTCATAGTCCCTTTGCTCCTTGACTGTGAGGGTTTCGTACAGATCTCTTGTAGCATCGAATACATCCAAGAGTGTGTCCACCAGAGCTTGCACAACATGCACAGGATCGACGGTAGGGTTCTGTATGGCATCAGTACATGTGAACACACGATATGCCGTTGCATACGGGCCGAATACAGCTTACAGCGATACTCATCATGAAACCTGCAGTTTATTTGTTCTCTCGTGATCCTGCTTTCCCAGATATAAGACCAGGCCAACCTGACTCGTAGCGAAAAGGAGAAAAGCGGTCCGGACTAGATAGCTTAAAAGGAACGTAGCTCTAGAGCCCGATTCTAGGCACCACAAGGGTTCTACTACCGACGCCCCACGCCTCACACTCAGACCCCTTCAATAAGCTCCGGAACGGATGCTTTCTCCACCCAAGCCCTACTCTTGTGAATTGCCTCATGCTTGATGATGGCTTGTACAGCTGGCACCGCGCCATTGGTGCCCCTCCGATGTTCTGATTGGAATACCGACGGCTACGGGCCGCGCCAGGAACGTACCCGCATGGAGCTTGACGTCATTGTCAGGTGTAGCGCCATTGGGACGAAGTGTGGGTGTGACATGCATACAGCCCGCGGGGTGGATGCGTCGCATTACTTCTCTGGGTCAGAGTGGGTAAGCTAGCTGACCGGGATGTTGATCACCCGGGGATGTTGATCACTCACAAATCTCAGCACTCCCACACAAAACACGTGTTATCTCTCCACGTACTCAACCAAAATGGGCGACCGTGAAGCAGCT